AGCGCCGGGCAGAGAGACCCACACCTTGACGGCGCAGGGCTGCCCAGCACCGGGGCCAACGCCGATGCTGACTCACGATCTGCGGCCGCCCCGCACCGCCGCCGGGGATTCAAACCCGGCCCGCGCCCCGCCCTCGCCGCGCCGGCCACGCCCACCCCTCCGCCCCGCCCCCGCCGCGCCGGCCACGCCCCCCGCGCTGCCCTCCCCCCACCTTACCCCCCCCCCCAAGTCCGGGTCCCGAGCCGAGCTGGCAGGTGGGCGCGGACAGAAGGGGACAGGGGTCTTCAGGCGAATCGCCCCAGAGCCGCCCCGCTGCCCAGCGCTTCCTGCCCTGCCCACCTGCACCTGCGGCGGCTCGGGGCTGACTCCAGTGAAACACGCTGGACCCAACACAAGCGCTCGCGGGGGCGGCGTGACCCTGGAGCCGCTGCGTCCCCTGCAGAGCTCTCCTCCCGCCCAGCGCCATCTAAACGCAGCTCACTCTCAGAATCTGAAACCTGTTCCTACGAAGTGGAAGGCGAAGTGAAAGGGAACCTATCGGATGACCCTGAAACGACCCCACTCCATCCCTTAACTACGGAATCCGCTCATTCTACTCCGGGCTTCAGTCATAGCACGACCTGAAGGAAATCACACTATTAACGCAAGGAAAAAACGACCCAGTCTACACCTGCTTCGCCCAACACCCTCTACAAGAGCTAATAAAATACTCGGCAGGCAGGCAGGCAGGCAGGCAGGCCTGGGAGCCGCGGGCGGGGAATCCCGGAGCCTGGGGTCAGCGGGCAGCTCTGGGGACACTGCCTCCTGTACCTGCGGCTCCTGCAGAGCTGTAACTTCACAGCGATGCCATGGGCATGGACAGAAGGGAAAAATGAGGCTGCCACTGGGTGGCAAGGCTCACAATTTCAGCCGCGGCAGCGACAATACATTGCCTGTAATAAGGCAGTGTCAATCCCGGAAAAAAAATCCACCTGTTCACCTCTGAGAAGCTGGTTCAGGAATTTTTTTTTCCTTAGACGGAGTGAGACTGTCACCCAGGCTGCAGTGCAGTGGCACGACCTCAGCTCACTGCAACCTCCACCTATATGGTGCCTCGGCCACCTGAGTGGCTGGGACTGCAGGCGTGCACCACCAGGCCCAGCTCATGCCTGTGTATTTAGTGGAGACAGCGGCTCACAATATGGGCCAGGCCAGTCTGGAACTTCTGACCTCAGGTGATCCGCCTGCCTCTGCCTCCCAAAGGGCTGCAGTTACAGGCATGAAGCCGCTGCTCACAGCTCAGGAAATATTTAAGTTATTTAAATATTTAAGTTAATATGAAAGTTAATGTGCTTTAAGCTCGAGCGTGACATCCTCAAACAGTTGAAAACGCACCTCAGAGATCAAAAAATGGCCGGGAAAATTACTACAGATGTGTGAACTCCAGTCTATCTGAAGGTGCGCTCTGCGCGGGCGGCCAGGCCTGTCAGGCACACAAAGAGCTGGTTCTGTTTTCCACCTGAGTGGGCAGAGTGGAAAGATGGTCTCAGTTGTTTGAGATTTAATTTTCCTAAATATTTTTCTGTTATGCTGGAATTCTACCATTACTACTTTTAGGTTGGGGAAGAGAAACTCTATTTCACAAACAATGTTTTTGTTTAAAAAAATAAATCAATCCTAGCCAGGCACGTTGGCTCATGCCTGTAATCCTACCACTTTGGGAGGCCAAGGCAGGCAGATCACCTCAGGTCAGAAGTTCGAGACCAGTCTGGCCAACACGGTGACACCCCGTCTCTACTAAAAATACAAAAATTAGCTGTGTGTAGTGGCTGGTGCCTGTAATCCCAGCTACTCGGGAGGCAGAGGTTGCAGTGAGGTGAGATTGCACTGCAGCCTGGGCAGCAGAACCAGAGGGGGGAAAAACCTGCTCAGAGGCCAGACCCCCACGGGGCTTTAGCCACTGTGTGACCCTCTAGGTTTCCGAGGGGATGTGTGAATTTGAGGGTGTGATTTAACAAGATCCATGGCCCTGGGTTACACAGCCATGTCAGATTAAAACCAGCATGTTCTTGACTGACAAGCCTGGGGTAATGTCAGAAAAAAAGAAGTAAAGTTTATTGAAATTTTTTTAAAAGAAAAAAAAAAACAAAAAACCAGTATGTTCTATCTGGGCCGGGCCCCAGCTATACACGGGAGACGAACGCAGGAGGGTGGCCTGTGCCCGGGGTTGGAGGCTGCAGTGAGCTGACTGCACCACTGCACTCCTGCCCGGGCCACAGAGCAAGACCCTGACTCAACATAAAGCCCCAAAACGCACAAAACAAACTCAGGGTAGGCTGTCACCTGTGCTGGCGTCCAGGTTCTCTACCCTGGGCTCGGTGGAATGGGATGGGGTGGGCCCAGCATATTCAATTCATGAGAACTCTCTGGTTCGAGAACAACACGGATGCCCCAGTTTCAAGCTGTAATAAAATGTGTGCACTTGTTTCTGCACGAGAGAAACGCCACACCACGATGCGACCCCTCAAGTTTACAGTGTTAAAACCCCCCTTTAAGGTGAAGCCCCAACAGGACTCATCTCACATCCCGTACCTCCTCTTCCAAAGGCTCCAAGAGAAGGACATAATTTTCAAAACAGACCAGAAGGCGGAATTTCAGCCGTGTCCTGAAACAGTGAGGCCACCAGGCTGAGGCAGAAGAGAGGAGCCCTTCCTGGGCGGCGCAGCCCAGTGCTGCCAGCCAGTGAGGATGAAACAAAGGCAAACGCTGTCTGCACCCCCGCCCCCGCCCCACCCCGCCAGAGCCCAGCCCCGGTGCTGGGGCCATCCAGGATTCCTGCTCTCCCCAGGGCCTTCCGAGGGAGGGAGAGGCCTGGATTCGGAAGGGTTCTCTGGCAGACACACAATGGAGCCCACGTAGCAACACCAGGGCCATGAAGGGGAGACACTCAAGGCCACAGAAGGTCCCAGTGTTTGGGAAGGTGACCCTTTAAGAAATGCAGGCCAGGTTCACACCTGTAATAACACTTTGGGGGGCCTACATGGGCGGATCACGAGGTCAGGAGTTTGAGACCAGCCTGGCCAACATGGTGAAACCCCGTTGCTACTAAAAACACAAAAACTAGTCAGCCATGGTGGCGCACGCCTGTAGTCCTAGCTACTCAGCAGGCTGAGGCAGGAGAATGGCTTGAACCCAGGAGGTGGAGGATGCAGTGAGCTGAGATCACACCACTGCACTCCAGTCTGGATGACAGAGAGACTCAGTCTCAAAAAACAAAAAATACACACACACAGAAGAAAACTGCAAAGGCTTCAGCCCCAAGCAAATGCAGGGGCAGGAAGGTCCAGCAGCAACACAGGCCAAGAGCTGTGCCCAAAAGATGCACCTGGGTGGCAGAGGTGCTGAGCGCAGGGACCTGGGGGCCCGAGGGCCGTCGTGGGGCCTCAGGAGCTGCACCTGGCTTTCCTCGCCGACACCACTCAGGATGAGACTGCTCTAGTGTCCTGCCAAGGGGCCGTCTGTGGCCTAAGGGGCCCCTGGGAAGAGTCTCTCTCCTCGAGGCTGGCGGTATCCAGGCCTACGTGGGCGGAGCTGCCGGGGTCCTGCGTGGGTGGAGCTGCCAGGGGCCTGCAGCTGGGCCCAAGCAGGTCCGTGCAGGGCAATGACCAGCAGCTGCGGCTGTCGGGCAGGAGTCTCTGCAGGTCTGGCCACCCAGCCACCTGACACATTGACATGGGCCCTGACGGTGCTGGGGTCCCACTCCGAGTCCCCAGAGTGTGCCTGTGCAGGCACTGGAGCAGGGCCCACCATGTGGCCCCGGCAGCCATGGCCTCCTGGTCCCACGCCCAGCTCCCCTACCACACCCTGGACAGCAGAGGCTGTGGGAGGGGAAGAGGGTGTCCCAGGGCTGCCACAGCAGAGGCCGCCTCACTGTAGCTCTCCACCCGCTCCCACCCCAGCCCAGGGACAGAGAAGGGGAGACCACCCCAGGTGACGGTCTGCCCTGAGCCCCTCACTGTCAGGACAGAGAGGCAGGTTTGGGTCCCTTGGGCACTGGTGGCCATGGAATGTGGGGCTTCGGCACGTCCACTCACTCACCAAGCATCTCTGCAAGCAGAGCCCTGCACAGGTGCCCGACCTGTCTCCCACCACCCCAAAACAGCCTTTCCTCAGGGGCTGGAACGGACCAAGCATACAAGCAGCCCAGCCCTAGCACCGTCTTGCCCCCACCCCAGCTCTGCCTGCTGCAAGCTGTGGGCTCCCAGCCAGGCCCCAATGGGTCCCCACAGCCCAGCTCCATCTCAGTGACTCTCTCCAGCTAAAGGCCCCCAAAGCTGCAGGCCCAGTTGCTTACAGCTGTGCCCCAAGCTGCAAGCCTTGGCCAGGCTCCCCACCCCTGACTGTCCCCACAACCCTAAGTTTCCATTTTTCTAGAGATGGTCTCACTCTGTCACCCAGGCTGGCGTGCGGTCGTGCAATCACAGCTCACTGCAGCCTCGACCTCCTGGGCTCCCTGATCCTCCCACCTCGGCCTCCCAAGTAGCAGGGACTACAGGTGCACACCACCATGCTTGGCTAATTACTGTATTTTTAGTAGAGATGGAGTCTTGTATGTTGTCCAGAACTTTCTGGCTCGTGATCCTCCTGCCTTGGCCTCCCACAGCCCTGGGGAGCACAGGTGCCCCCCACACTTCGGCCACCGCACCACGCCAGCTCCCACGGCTCCTGACATCTCCCAGCAGCCTCCCTACTCTCAGTCCCTGGGCCGGGCGGCACCCACTCCGCTTGACTCCTGGGAAGCTCCTCGTCCCCAGGGCCTGTGGCACCAGGCTAGGAGCCTCTGTGAGCCGAGGCTTGTTTTCTGAACCACAAGTGCAGCACGACCAAAGTGACAGGCGGCGGAAAACATGCATCTGGTTACGACTCGGTAACATGTCCTGAGATAGGAGCGCTGCTGCTGAGAAGCTACAGCATGGGCACAGAAGGGGGTCAGGGAGAAAGGAGGGCAGCACCACACTTACCGAGGACGGCCTCCACGGTGCTGCCGGCGGGGGGCACGGGCAGCGCGGTGGGGGAGGAGCTGCCGGAGCCGGCGCTGGACGCCACACTGGAGCTCACGCTGGGGGCCGGCGGGTGGGCCGCTGCAAACACGGCCAGGTGGTTCTGTTCAAAGACACAAACACCATGAGCAAGCGCCCGTGCATGGAGGAGGCGTGTGACGTCAGCACCCTGCAGAAAGCACTGCAGGACACCGCAGACTTCCACACCTGGGCGAGGCCCGGGAGAGCTTCCCCGGGCCTGGAGGGATGCTGACGGCACCAAGGAGTGACACCAAGACAGGCAGAGCAGGGGCTATGGCGCACTGGAGCCGGGCACAGGCGCCTCTGGGAAGCACCTCAACTTTTTCTGCAGAAAAGCTTTCAGGAGTAGCCATTTGCCAGTAAAATCAATCCGGCAGGTGCAGAAAGATGTGTCACAGCCAGGGGCCGGCCAGCCCAAGGGACAAGCCCTGCAGCCTGCCTGCCCTTCTCCCCACTGCCTGGGTGCCCCTGCCCCGGCTCTCAGCCAGGACTGGCTCCTGGGCACCTTGGGGCCCCCAGAGACACATCTTCCCAGGGACCTCAGTAGAGACCCAGCACCACTTCCAAAAACATCCACAGTGTGGTCCTGTGACCTCGTTACCAGGGAAAGTAAAACATGGGGCAGTTCACATGATCTATATTTGGAGGATAACATATCACAGAAGAGCACACAGAGCAGTGAATCAAACCCAGTAACGGGGACGCTGGACGCAGGAAACACCCGACACAAATGACCCACCACTGAGCTGCAAAGCCAGATGTCACATAGCACAGTGGCTGTGTCTAGAGAGCTATATAGGAGGTCGCTGCAAAATCCAGTCACGGGGAGGGCACTGAACACAAGAAAACACCCGACACAAATGACCCAGCGCTACCTACGAGGTCACTGCAAAATCAGGTGCTCACGCCTGTCATCCCAGCACTCTGGGAGGCCACGGCAGGCGTGATCACCTGACTTCAGGAATTCAAGACCAGCCTGGCCAACATGGTAAAACCCCAACTCTACTAAAAATACAAAAAATTAGTCAGGTATGGTGGCGTGCGCTTGTAACCCCAGCTACTCGGGAGGCTGAGGCAGGAGAATTGCTTGAACCCAGTAGGCGGAGGTTGCAGTGAGCCGAGATCGCGCCATTGCACTCCAGCCTGGGTGACAGAAAGACTGTTTCCGAAACAGGTGAACTGCACACCGACGTACTACAGCTGAAAGGTGTGGTATCTGGGCTCTGCTGAAAAGTAACGCAGGCAAAGTTAACCTTGGAAGGTGTGATTTTACCAGTTTGTCTGAAGTAAACTATCCATTGTGCATTTCCAAGGGTCAGAAATCGTCCAGACTCATCCCCGACAAGAACAGTCCTGGCTCCCGGCTCCTGTGGGGTCCCGTGGGGTCCCGCCACCTGCACTGGATTCCTTCTGGTAACAGATTTGCTCCTCAGCCCCTGGCACAGGAGGCGCGCACAGCCCCCGTGACTGACTCAGAAAACAACGGCCTCTGGCTGCAGAGTCTGGGGACAGCCGCCGGAGCTCCCTGCACAGGGCAGGACAGGGTCTGCCCCTTCGTCCATAATCCGCTTGCCCTGACTGGCCCAGAGCCACTTTCCCTCAAGCCATGAAAGACGAGACCACAGGCCACCCTGTGGGCATCAGAGACGGTGGTAACTCCTGCATCCAACACGGGTGACCCTCCCAGCCATGCATGGCGCTGCCGACACCTCCCCTCATCAAGCCCCCACAGTGAGCCTGTTACAGGGTTGCTGGAAGCCTCACATTCTCCAGCAAGCAGCCCAAAAACATAATGGATGCCGTGGGGCCTGGGGCCATCTCGGTGGGAACCAGCCGCCACCCACCCCACCCTGCAGCGCTTCCTGTCCCTGCTCCAGAGCCTCAGTGTGGCCCCAGGACGGCTGGCAGGGGCCTCCCGACAGGCATCCTGGTGACAGCACCTAGGAGCAAAGCAGATGCCTGGGAGCTCCTTGTGCCCAGATGGCTTGGAGTGGGGAGAGGACTGACCTTCTCTACCAGCAAAGGACAGGGCCACCCAGGCTGCGGCCACCAGCAAGGGGCGAGTGGCATGGGGCAGTCCGCCAAGCTCACCGCATCCAACAGCTGTGACTCAGAACCAAAAGCTCAGGGCTAGCAATGCACTGCCTTCCGGGGCATGGACGCCACACAGTGGCACAGCCACACAGCCCACAGAAGCTCTCTCCCACCCCCTCCGCCTCCCATCTCCTGGCAGCCCACCCCATATCCTGGGGTCTGCGTTCCGGGCACGGTCCCTACACACGAGCTGCCCCTGCTGGGTCAGGCTGAGGTCCACCTCATCCTTGCCCACCAGTCACCAAGAGGCCACTGTCCAGGTCACAGTGACCCCTGTGGATACCCTCCCCAGCTCCAAGAACCCTGCAGGCATCTCAGTCCTTGCCGGAACCCAACTCCAGAGCCTCACCCAGGCCCAGAGGCCACCTCTCAAATAAGGGAAAGCCGAGGGAGTCTTGCCTGGAAGAGCCCCAGGCCAACCACAAAGCCACGGACAACACTGGGGTGTGCAGAGCAGGCTGGGCTGCCCTGGGTGGCATGGGGAGCCTGGCCCAGCACCTGTGTCTGCACAGAGCCAAGGAATGCAGACAGCCAGGAGGCACCACCGTGTAGGCACTACGTGTGCAACACTGGTGTGAGGGCTGTGCACAGGCTGACCCTTGGCTTTGACGGCCTCAGGCTCCCAAAGCACTGCCCGGGCCAGGATGAGTGCAGCAGCCTGAGAAGCCATTGCCCCCTCCTTTCCGGTGTCTGCAGGAGGGGACTCTGCCCAGCCCAGGATGAGTGCAGCAGCCTGAGAAGCCAATGCCCCCTCCTTTCCGGTGTCTGCAGGAGGGGACTCTGCCCAGCCCAGGATGAGTGCAGCAGCCTGAGAAGCCAATGCTCCCTCCTTTCCAGGTGTCTGCAGGAGGGGACTCTGCCCTTGGGGCCTTCCTCTCAGCCCACAGGAGGCCATAAACCCAGAGGGACCAGAGAGGAAGCCTCAGCCCTGAGCGATTCCCAAATCTTGTGCTGACCCTGCCCAGGAGCCAGCCAGGGTGATGCACACACTGTGACCTCAGCCCGAACGATGGCCTGAAAATCACCCACATCCATGTCTGTCCTTGTCCCCCAAGGCACAATGACCACAGACCAGCCTGGTGTGGAAGCCCATCCACAGGAGGGCTGGGCATGGTGAGAGGCCAGAGGGGAGCCCCATGGGGATGTTGCGTCTCCACTAACCCCCGCACCGCCCGCCCCACAAGGACAGCACACCCTGGGCTACCACTGGTACTGTCTGCCTGGTTTTCATCACAGTGAAACATACTATAAATTGACTACGGTGGCCATGTTTCAGTGTAGTCAGGGTCATGAATTCCACCCACACCGCTGTGCAGCCATCACGGCGCCCACCTCCGGAACTCCTTACCTCCCAGCCGACTCGCCCCCTCTCCCCCTCAGCCCCCACCAAGCTACGTTGTGTCTGTGAGTCTGACCCCGCCAGAGGCCTCTGTGAGTACAGTCACGCAGGAATTCCTGTGTCTGTGAGTCTGACCCCACTAGAGGCCTCTGTCAGTGGAGTCACGCAGGATTTGTCTTTTCGGTGACTAGCTCATTTCAGTCAGCAGCATCTTTGTTATGCACCAAACGTGTCCCCCAAATTCCTACATGGAAGCCATGACCCCCACTGTTACTAGATTTCGAGACAGGGCCTGTGAGGCATGATTAAGGTGAAATGAGTTCCTAAGCCAGGTGTGGAGGATCACACCTATAATCCCAACACTGTTTGAGCCCAGAAGCTCAAGACCAGTCTGGGCAACACAGTAAGACCCCGTTTCTACAAAATATACAAAGACTAGCCCAGCATGGTGGTGTGTGCCAGGGGTCCTAGCTACTCTGAAGACTGAGGTAGGAGGCCCAGGCTGCAGTCAGCTGGGATTGGGGCACTGCACTCCAGCCTGGATGACAGAGCAAGACCCTGTCTCAAAACATTTAACCAACTGTGAAAAACAACGGCAACAGTGAAATGAGGTGTTAGGGGTGGGGCCCTACGCGGCCTCCGTTCACAGGAAGTGACCCCAGGGATGCCCACACACAGAGGGGTGACCCAGAGGACACAGGAGGAGGCAGCATCCGCACGCCCAGGGGGGCCTCAGGAGGAGCCAGCCCTGGACACAAGCGCAGACTCAGCGCCCAGAACTGAGAGAATAAAGTGCTGCTGCTTTTGGTTTTTGGGTTTCATTTTGAGACAGGGCCTCATTCTGTCACGCAGCCTGGAGTGCAGTGGCGGGATCTCGGCTCAATGCAACCTCTGCCCTCTACCTCCTGGGCTCAAGCAATTCTCCTGCCTCAGCCTCCCAAAGTGCTGGAATCACAGGTGTGAGCTAGACTGTGCCCAACCAAAGCTACCTCATTCATTCATTCATTCATTCAATTTTGAGATTGAGACAGGGTGTTGCTCTCTCACCCAGGCTGGAGTGCAATGGCACAATCTCAGCTCACCGCAACCTCCGCCTCCAGGGTTCAAGCGATTCTTTTGCCTCAGCCTCCCAAGCAGCTGGGGCTACAGGCACGAGCCACCATGCCCGGCTAATCTTTGTATTTTTAGTAGAGACGGGGTTTCACCACGTTGGCCAGGATGGTCTCAATCTCCTAACCTTGTGATCCACCCGCCTCGGCCTCCCACAGTGCCGGGATTACAGGCATGAGCCACCGCGCCCGGCCAGTTCTGCTGTTTGAACATGCCCGTCTTCACCCTTCCCTCATAGCCCAAGGAAAGTAACACAGACGGGCTCCGAGGGGCCCCTCTCATTTCCCTGAGGAGAAAACGGCAGGAGGTTTTGGCTTTGTTGTTTCCAAGGTGTGACACCAACGTTTCAAACAGACAGACGTGGGGTACTGGAATTCCATGACCAGTGGATGTTAACTAGATGGCTCTATGAGCCGAGAGTGAGCGGGACCGAGGACGCACGGGTGCAGAATGCCGCGCCGTCAGCCACCAGGGCAGCGGGGAGCCTGGGGGCTGTACCTGCTCGCTGGCCTTCGGGCCGCCCTCGGCTGGCAAGTCTCTCCGCTTGGCCTGCAACAGAAAAAAAGAGTCCTATGGAGAAAAAGCAGGGGGAGGCCGGGCACAGTGGTGGACGCCTATAACCCCAGCACTTTGGGAGGCCAAAGCAGGCAGCTCACAAGGTCAGGAGATCGAGACCATCACAGCCAACACCGTGAAACCCCATCTCTACTAAAAATACAAAAAGTTAGCTGGGTATGGTGGCGCGTGCCTACAGTCCCGGCTACTTGGGAGGCTGAGCCTGGACAATCGTCTGAATCCGGGAGGTGGAGGTTGCGCTGAGCCGAGATCACATTACTACACAGCACTCCAGTCTGGGCGACATACGAGACTCAGACAGATACGAGCTCTGCTCAGAATTTACAAATATGCCAATTCTTTTTTTGAGACAGGATCTCATCTGTCTCCCAGGCTGGAGTGCAGTGGCGAGACCTCCCTGGCATGAGCCATTCTCCTGCCTCAGCCTCCCAAGTAGAAACACAGGTACCTGCCAGGGCACCCGGCTACTTTTTCAAAGCTTTTTGTAGAGACAGGGTCTTGTTATGTTGCCCAAGCGGGTCTTGCACTCCCGACGTCAAGCGATCGTCCCACCTCAGCCTCCCAAAGTGCAGGGCTTGTGGTCATGAGCCACCAAAACCAGCCGAAGATGCTAGGTGTTGAAGTCCCATGAAACAGAAGAGACGCCTGAATCTGCTGGCTCCCCGTCGGTTCTCTTGAGTTGATTTCTTCTTCTTCTTTTTTTTTTGAGAGGGAGTCTCCCTCTGTCACCCAGGATGGAGTGCAGTGGCGTGATCTCAGCCCAGTGCAACATCCGCCTACCAGGCTAAAGCGCTTCTCCTGCCTCAACCTCCCAAGTAGCTGGGGTTACAGGTGCGCGCCACCACACCCAGCTAATTTTTGTATTTTTAGTAGGGTTTTCAACATGTTGGCCAAGCTGGTCTCAAACTCCCATCCTCAAGAGATCTACCCACCTCAGCCTCCCAAAGTGCTGGGATTACAGGCGTAAGCAACTCCGCCCGGCCTGAGTTCCGTTTCTTAACCTTGAATATCACTCTCTGACCCTGGGCTGGTCCACGTGAAGGCCAGGTGCAAGGACTGCACTCCCTGAACCAACCACAGCATCAAACCGCAAACGAAGCCATTCACCTAAGGCAGAGGCTCAGGTGAAACGGTGAGAAATACATGAAGGGGGACAGAGTGTGCCACCTGCAAAACACGCCACTCTTCGACAAAAAGATTGTTTTGAGTTGAAGGAAGCAGGACCGGAACAGCCCTCTGCCCTGAAGCCAGGTGTGAACTCCCTGTGTAAAGGTGCCTACTCCCATCTCCACACCAGGAGAGGCTGCACACTGAGCCTGCATGACCAGCCTCGCTGAAGTTCCTCTCATCTTCCATCAGTCTCCCCACAGCTTTACTTCCTAGGAGCCCAGCCCCTTTTCCCTTTTTCTCTTTTGAGATGGGGTCTCGCTCTGTCACTCAGGCTGGAGTGCAGTGTGGAGATCTTGGCTCACTGCAACCTGCACCTCCTGGGTTCTAGCGACTCTCCTGCCTCAGCCTCCTGAGTAGCTGGGATTACAGGCACATGCCACCATGCCCGGCTCATTTTTGTATTTTTAGTAGAGATGGGGTTTCACCATGTTGGCCAGGCTGGTCTCAAACTCCTGACCTCAGCTGATCCACCCGCCTCAGCCTCCCAAAATACTAGGATTATAGGTGTGAGCCACTGCACCCAGCCTAGTGGCAAGGATTTTTCTAGACTCTTGTAGAAGAGCCGCAAACTCCACAAACTGCCTTCAACCACACTACTGAGAAGTCATACCCATCCACATCCCTAACAGTTCCATTAACCCAAAGAACACGGGGCATCACCCCAGGAACACCGTTCACTTACGTTACCCGGCTGGCTGCTGCCGGTGGAGGCGGGACTCCCGGGATGGAGATCGCGGCAGCAGTCATTCACCATCCCCAGGCTCTCTGCAAGGACAGGGGGCGGCTGGTGGGCGACAGTGACACGCAGAAGTCTCCGCACCACATGTGAGGGCCAAGCGCACGCGGCCTTGTCACCATCATCCCTCGGGGGTGCAGCAAGAGGACAGCTGGGCAGACAGGAGATGCTGGGGCAACGGGACCCTCGGGCCTCAGCCTTCAGGTTTTCACGTGTTTAATACTAAAGCAACATTTACAATGTGAACAACAGTGGCCCTCCCCGCTGAAATGAAAAGCAGAAGGGAAATCTGAGCTTGTGACCACACTCACAAAACCTGGAACCCAGACCCTAGAGCTGAAATGAAGAGCCCGTTGGAACATGGGGGAAGGCCGAGTGGGTTCCCACTGGGGCTTGCTTCTGCTGCTGGGAACTGATTATGGACCACGTAACCCCAAAGCTAGGCTGAATCATCCAGACAGCTAACACGGGCTCTGGAAAGGCCGCCTGAGCAGCTGTTGCTCGAGGGTCTCTGCTGCCTCCTCTGCCTGGGATGCACAGACCCCCTCGCTCCACAAGGGCAGTACTCCTGGGTGGGTGCCCAGCAGGACAGAGGCTCAGGACAAGGCCCAGGCAGCGGTGGCAGAAGGACCCAGCTTGGATGCCCAGGAGGCTGGTAGAGGCGCCAGCCAACTCACACCAGGACTCAGCCTCAAAGCTGAGGGTCTCAGTGCGCCTGGAAACAGCATCCCACCAGGCTCCACCAGGACTGGCCCACACCTGCGTGGAGGAAGCCCAGCCTCAGGCAGCACAAACACACTCCCACCCAGGGGGCCTCCATGGCCACGTCAGGGCTCCCAGGCCCCCGCCACGGTGCTGAGCTCCCGCCCGCCTTCCAGGTCCATGTGGCCAGCTCCTGGTCACCAGTGACTCCAGTGAGAGTCTGCAGAGCTGCTGAGCCCGCCAAGGTGAATCTGCCACAGGGATGGCCACTCACTCTCCACGTGTGCAAAGGCGCAGAAGGGGCCGCGCGGGCAGTACCCGGTTTGGCGAATGTCGTTGCATTTCGTAGATTTGTAGATCTGGGGGGACAATGAAATGAAGAGGCTGGATTAGAAATGAGATTCTGTGGGACGATCGCAGCTGGTGTTACCCCACGGTGGAGAACTGAGCTCCAAACTGTGACAAGAGGCCCCTGAAGAGAGGGGTGTGGGCCCTGCCCTCCTCCACAGTGCACCTTGGTCCCCACGTCCCTCCTCTCTGCAGAGCCGACCTGCAGGGAACACGCGCAGGTGTGGGGCCATTCCCCTCACATCACAGGCAAAGCCATTTCCCGGCTCGGTATCTTCTGAAAGACGCACCGAATAGAGTCTGGTATCAGCAGATGGCTAGTAAGTGACTAGTAAAGGCACACGTGTCTGTTCCACAGCCAGACCCACTGCCACTTCACCCAGGGTGACAGACACTTTCATGAGGTCAACACCACGTAAGACCCGGGAAGGGACAGGCCAGCCTGGAAGCACCCAGTCTACCCTAGGACAGCCTGGCCCAGCCCCTCCTGCTCCACAGTTCTCAAGGAAGGACACGGCAACTGCACAGCTGGCTCCCAGTGCCCACACCTGCCAGGAAGCCTTTCCTGACCTCCAGCCTGGCCCCACCCACTGCGGACACCCCCTCCCACCACTCAGGCGCCCAGTGGGGGCTCGTTTGCTTGTTCATTTTGTTTTTTGAGACAAAGTTTCGCTCTTGTTACCCAGGCTGGAGTGCAATGGCGCGATCTCGGCTCACTGCAACCTCTGCCTCCTGCGTTCAGGCAATTCTCCCCCTTAGCCTCCTGAGTAGCTGGGATTACAGGCACGTGCCACCATGCCCAGCTAATTTTTTGCATTTTTACTAGAAACGGGGTTTCACCATGTTGACCAGGATGGTCTCCATCTCTTGACCGCGTGGATCCACCTGCCTCGGCCTCCCAAAGTGCTGGGATTACAGGCATGAGCCACCGTGTCCATCCCGTTTTGTTTGTTTTTTGAGATGGAGTCTGGCTCTTGTCACCCAGGCTGGAGTGCAGTGGCACAATCTCAGTTCTCTGCCACCTCCGCCTCCTGAGTTCAAGTGATTCTCCTGCCTCAGCCTCTCAAGTAGCTGGAATTACAGACACATGCTACCAGCCCGGCTAATTTTTCTGTTTTTAGTAGAGATGGGGTTTCGCCATGTTGTCCAGGCCGATCTCAAACTCCTTACCTCACGCAATCTGCCCGCCTCAGCCTCCCAAAGTGCTAGGATGGCAGGCGTGAGCCCCCTCACCCAGCTTGTTTTGTTTTTAAGTACAAATCTGAGTATGCTCCCTTGGCAGCTACGCGGCCCGGCGTGAACACAGCAGCCCTGTGCCATCCATACCCTGCACCCTCCGGAGGAAGCACAGGCCTGGCCCCAGCCCAGGCTACCCCCTTCGGCCCCAGGAACATCCCGAATGGGAAGAGTTGTTGTTTACCTGGGGTGGGGGCCAGGCGGGGGGGCTTATCTCACTCAGGATTTATGGTACAACTATGGGCCATGCGGTGCCAGCTCTGCTCAGGGGATGCTGGAGTCCAGGGTCCACTGCAAGGACGGGCAGCCAGGCCTGTGTTACTGAACCCAGAAAAGGCCCCGGAAACTGGGCTCCTGGCAGGCCCCTGGTGGCACTGCAGTGTGTGTGGTCACCAACACCCAGAATGCAGGATGCAAATCTGTGACCCTGCCCTGGGAGGGACGGTGGGAAGCAGCCCTGGTCCTCCGAGCCCGTGTGCCTTCCCCTCACCTGAGGTTTTACTTTGTTCAGACAGAATCTTGCTCTGTCACCCAGGCTGGAGTGCAGTGGCACGATCTCGGCTCACCGCAACCTCCGCCTCCGGGGTTCAAGTGATCCTGGCGCCTCAGCCTCCCGAGTAGCTGGGATCACAGGCGTGCGCCACACCCAGCTGGACTCAAACTCCTGACCTCAGCTGATCTGCCCACGCTGGTGCCAGCATGACTGGTGTGAGCTCCCACACCCGGCCTCAATATCTATGCTTCCACTGACATTTTCTCCCTACTTTTTTCCCATGTGACTCTTTTTTCTGTTGCAGGCCAAGCAGAGAGACCCCCCAGCCTCGGGGGACCCAAAGGCCAGCAAGCTGGTACAGCCCCACAGGTTTCCCACAGCCCTCCTGCCAGCCCTCGGCCAAGAATAACCCTGTTCTTTCTGTGTGATGAACCACACTGTAAACTCAATGGCTTCCCCCAGGCCTTCCAGCAACCCACACCTGGGGTGGTGGGAGGGACGTACCTCGGGATGGAACTGCTGCTCTGTGCGGGAGTGGCAATACTGGCAGCTGTCACCGCCGTCGCAGCGCGAGGGCTCCCCCCACTCATCCCCGTGCTTCACGCTGGGGCAGGGCGTGGACCTGGGGACAAGGATGTGTCAGGGGACACAGGAGAACATAGCTCCCCACGGGGGGCCCGGGGGTATCTGCCTACCACCAGGAGGGGCCTTGGGCACAGGTCCCTGGAGTGACCAGTGACTCAGCTTCACACTATGGACATGCACGCCCGGCTGCTGCCAGGACAGGGTCGGGAGCTCCAGGGATGTTCTTCACAGAATTTAAATTGAGTCTGGGTTAGAGCCACCCTCACCGATGAAGAGTGAGGGGGAGAAACAGCCGAACCACCCGGGGGCAGTGAGGCTGGGCACCCAGACAGCGCAGAGCTGTCTCCTGGCCAACTTTCTATAAAATGGAAGTGAAATTTTTGATCCCACAATTTGAAAATCCTCACCAATTTCAAATGCCCAACGCTCCCACTGCAATAAGCCGGGACTGCACTGCTGTCCAGCCTGGGCGACAGAGACTATCTCATAAAAACTAAACCCTCTCGGGCCGGGCACAGCGACTCACGCCTGTCATCCCAGCACTTTGGGAGGCTGGGGCGGGTGGATCATGAGGTCAAGAGATTGAGAACATCCTGGTCGACATGGTGAAACCCCGTCTCTACTAAAAATACAAAAATTAGCTGGGCATGGTGGCGCATGCCTGTAATCCCAGCTACTCAGGAGGCTGAGGCGGGAGAAGTGCCTGAACCCAGGAGGCAGAGGTTGCGGTGAGCCAAGATTGCACCATTGCACTCCAGCCTGGGTAACGAGAGTGAAACTCCGTCTAAAAAAAAAAAAAAAAAAAACCACTAACCCCTCTCCTCTTGGTGCCATTTCTAGCAGCTTCATTATAACTTACATGGATTTATGGAAAGCACAACGCCTGTCGGAGAAAAGGATTTTCCTTTTGTTTCCACAACAGGCGATGACAGAAACGTAGGGACTAACTTGTGCTTTGTTCCACAGCCATTCAGGTCCCTCGACTCTGAAGCCACTTGGAGGGAGAATGAATTTAAGGTGGTAAAACGAGGAGGCAGGGAGGCGTCCTTCCCACGGGAGACACCGGGGCTCTCCAGGGCATGCCAGGCAGCACCAGGTCGTTGACAAGAGGAGGGTGGGCCGGGCGTGGTGGCTCACGCCTGTAATCCCAGCACTTTGGGAGGCTGAGGCAGGCGGATCACAAGGTCAGGAGTTCAAGACCAGATTGGACAACATGGTGAAACCCCGTCTCTACTAAAAAATACAAAATTAGCTAGGCATGGTGGCTCGTGCCTGGAATCCCAGCTACTCGGGAGATTGAGGTAGGAGAACTGCTTGAACCAGGATGCAGGCGGCAGGGGTTGCAGCAAGCTGAGATCGCACCACTGCACTCCAGCCTGGGACACAGAGTGAGACTCCATCTCAAAAAAAAAAAGAGGGCAGACTACCTGCTCAAAGGCAAAGCTGGACACAGACAGGGCCTCAGGGAGGCCAAGACCGGGACCCAGGCATCCAGACACCTGTGGGGTCTGCACCCTCCCCTGCCCCAGGCGCACACTGCAGACCGGAGGCAAGTGGGGCCAGGCACAACCAGAAGGTGGGGCTGGAGTGGGGAGGAGAAGGGGCTTCAGAGGCAAGCAGGCTGCACAGCCCCAAACCCATAGGCCAGGCCCAGGGGATGGTCAGGGCTCAGGCGGTAGAGGAAGGTCCTGCATGTACCCTGGGCAGGGCGAGCCTTGGAGTGCAGGCCCCGGGACTCAGCCTAAGAACCGGGTGCCCTGGCCGCCAGCTGTTAAGACGAGATCAATCTCAGGTGATGAGAACGCCAGAGCACCTGGTGGCTCGCGTGAGGAGACGGCACGCAGCCCACAGCCTGGAGAGCGTGGCTGCAACCAGAGGCATGAGTGGGGCACACGGGGGTCCCAGCTGGGCTCAGGGTCCCTCCTGCTGTGCTCTGGCCCCTTGCCTGGCAGAGGGGCCCCGGCAGGGAACTGCATGGGAGCCACTGAGCTTGGGTGGGGAGGCCAGTCCCAGGACAGGCTAGGGCTTCCACAGTGCCTCCCACAGTCAATATGCTGGGAGACGCCTCCCCTCCCAGGAGTGACAGTGCCACAAGGCAGCCCTCCCATGAGAACCCGGGGGAGGGCAATGCAGGCCACGGGGCGGGAAGGACACCCACCGCTGGGATCCTGCGGGCTCACCTGTACTGGAAGGTCCGGGGGTTGCGCCGCCTGTCCCTGTTGTTGTGGTAGTGCGGGCAGGCGTAGCCCTGGCGGCACAGGCGTGGTGGCTTCGGGCACTGCTCCGTCTTATAGCTGCCCAGCACAAAGCTGGCATCTGAAAAACGGGCCACACAGTGCCTGTGCAGTATCACTTAGGGCAACACTGGGCACAAAACCCAAAGGACAGAGCCATAGGAGGACTCAGAGAACGCAAACAGACACACTGTGGCACACGCGGAGTTCAAAGGACTCACGCCCCACGAGGGAGGCCGGGCCCAAAGGCCACGCTGTGTGGTTCTGCCTACATGACAACAACTGCCCAGAACTGGGGACCCACAGAGAGGGGGTGGAGCAGAGACCACCAGGGGTTGGGTGAGTCCTGCTGTGGGTGGGCGCTTCCTTCCTGGGAGATAAAGATGTTTTCCAACTAGACAGAGATGACGGTTGCACAGCTTTATGAATAAGCTAAAACCTCAGAAAATGCCACACGGGAAGCCTCATGCACGCCAGAGCCTCTGGGTGACAAGCACCTCACTGTGGGTTCCCTGTTTGTAGCAAGTGTACCTCACGGTGCAGGAGGCTCACCGCAGGGGAGGCTGAAGGGCAGGGGCGTTTGGGAAATCTCTATTTTTCCACTCAGTTTTGCTGTGAACCAAAAACTGCTCTAAAAAATAGTCTTTTTTTTTTTTCTTAAGGCAGATTCTGGCTTTGTCGCCCAGGCTGGATGGAGAGCAATGGTGCGATCGTGGCTCACCGCAACCTCCGCCTCCCGAGTTCAAGCAATTCTCCTGCCTCAGCCTCCCAAGTAGCTGGGATTACAGGCGTGCGCCACCATGCCCGGCTAACTCCTTATATCTTTAGTAGAGATGGGGTTTCAGCACGTTGGCCAGGCTGGTCTCCAGCTCCTGACCTCAAGGGGTCCATCTGCCTCAGTCTCCCAAAGTGCTGGGATGACAGGTGTCAGCCACCACATCCAGCCCAATAAAGTCTCTCTTTAAAAGCCATCCACTGTATTTCACATAAATTTTATCTAAAGTTGAAAAACAAGTCACGGGGTCATTTAAAAACAGTAATTGATGGGCAAAGATTCCTAAAAATCATATCCTTTCTTGGGCTAATAGTTCACTGCTACACGCTGTTCCTTACTGCACCTGCTCAGCGTGGCTGGGCAGCCAGCAACGGACACGGCCAAGAGCGTCAGCGCCTAAGTGCTGGTGTGACGCCAGACATGCTTCCAAGATCAAACCTGACCTCCGGACACCATCGTGCACACCAGATTCAATTCAAATAGCTTTTCTTTTCTTTTTTTGAGACGCACTCTCACTCTGTCACCCAGGCTGGAGTGTAGTGGCACGACCTCAGCTCCCTGAAACTTCCGCCTTCTGGGTTCAAGCAATTCTCCTGCCTCAGCCTCCCAAGTAGCTGGGATTACAGGCGTGCGCCACCACACCCAGCTAATTTTTAAATTTTTAGTAGAGATAGGATTTCACCATGTTGGCCAGACTGGTCTCAAATTCCAGTCCTCAGCTGATCCACCTGCCTCGGCCTCCCAAAGTGCTGGGACTACAGGAGTGAGCCACCACACCTGGTCAGCATTATTCTTATACTATTATATCCTTCAGTCCTGAAAAGAAATGAGAGCCGGCACAGTGGCTCATGCCTGTAAGGCCAGCACTTTGGGAGGCCAAGGTACAAGAATCACTTGAGCCCACGAGTTCAAGACCAGCCTGGCCACATAGTAAGACGCCATCTGTACTAAAAATACTAAAAACTAGCTGGGCATTGGTGGTACGTGCCTGTAGTCACAGCTACACGGGCAGTTGACGTGGGAGGATCGCCTGAGCCTGGAAGGTCAACACGGCAGCGATGTGTGATTGCACCCCTGCACTCCAGTCTGGACAAGACACTGGAACAAGGTCCTGTCTCAAAAACAAAGAGGAGGAGGAGGAGCGAAACAGGGTGGCTCCCGCCTGTCATCCCAGCACTTTGAGAGGCTGAGGCAGGTGGATCACCTGAGGTCAGGAGTTTGAGACCAGCCTAATATGGTGAAACCCCATTTCTACTAAAAATACAAAAATTAGCCTGGCATGGTGGTGCCCACCTGAAATCCCAGCTACTTGGGAGGCTGAGGCAGGAGAATCACTTGAACCCGGGAAGTGGAGGTCGCAGTGAACCGAGATCGCACCACTGCACTTCAGCCTGGGTGACAGTGTGATACTACATCTCCAAGAAAAAAAAAAAAGATGCATTTTTTTTGTTTATGTGTATTTTGTCACTTTTTTTTGAGATGGAGTCTTGGTCTGTCACCCAGGCTGGAGTGCAGTAGCACGATCTCAGCTCACTGCAACCTTCACTTCCTGGGTTCGAGCGATTCTCCCGCCTCAGCCTCCAGAGTAGCTGGGATTACAGGCATGCGCCACAACTGGCTCATTTTTGCATTTTTAGTAGAGATGGGGTTTCTCCATGTTGGCCAGGCTGGCCTCGAACTCCTGACCTCAGGAGATCCACCCGCCTCAGCTTCACAAAGTGCTGGGATGACAGGTGTGAGCCACTCACTGCACCCTGCCTTGGTACACTTTTTTGAATCAATTCTCCCCTGCTATCACCTCATCTGTGTGCTGGCCAGGAATGCAGGACCCCAGCCCCAAGGAAATGCCCCCAGCCCATGTGTTCTGATCACGCCCAAGGATCTAAAAGCTGCTTTGTGGAGCAGCACCCAGAGGCACAGGGCTGGGGACTCCGCTGGACACCACGGGTGGGTGCACAGTGGTGCCCTGGCTCCAGGACAGGACACCCCGCAGGTTGCCATGGGAGGTGCAGATCCCCTCAGCTGAGCACTTGGTCAATGGCTGACCCCAATGAGCCACCAGCAGGTGAAGAGGTACAGAAGGGATGCGGGGGAGGCACCTGAGCCCAGATCCCACTCAGCACCCACCCCCTGTAGGAGAGGGGTTGCTACTGAACTCCATGAGCCTCAGTTTCCCCATCTGATCACCTTGCACATCAACTAAGACGGGCTGTCCCCGCACTGTCCCCGCACTGTCCCCACCACTCAGCTGCGGCCATGGAGTTACCTTGCCATCGGGGGTCTTCACTCAGGATCTTCTCAATCATGGCCTGGCTTGCCAAAACCCCAGGCTGCAGATCTGGGACACCGTCCCCGCTGCCCAGCTGACCGTTCTGCAAGGCTTCCTGGGCCTGCAGCTCCCTGCAAGCCGAGGACACAGGGGTCACGGCTCTGTATGCGGAGCCTCCAAAGCTGAACGGAGGTCACTGGAGTACACGCTCCCCTCCCACCACTACACAGAGACGCTGCCACCCGAAGGGCTCAGGTGTGTGGGGCACTCCTCTGCCCTGGCACACAGTCCTGATCCAAATCCCAACCACTCAATTTTGTTTTTTGTTTGAGACAGGGTCTGGCTCTGTCTCCCAGGCTAGAGTGCAGTGGCGCAATCACAGCTGATTGCAGCCTCCACTTCCCGGGCTCAAGCCTCCCAGAGCACTGGGATTACAGGTGTGAGCCACTACACTCGGCCCCAACCACGCATGAGTGGAATTTTCCGGAGGCAGAATTTGCCTTCCTGCAGCCCCCGCAGGACCGTGCGCTGAGTTCGTTCTCTGGCAAAGCAGTGCCTCACCTCAAACCCTCCAGACTCGGGGAAAGAAACACCCAGTGAGATGAGGTAAGAGATCGTCTCACCAGAAACAACATCCAGGCCTACTACTCACCTGACGTCACACACGGGGGGCCGCAGGTCCAAGGGGCCGTGTGCAAAGGCACAGTGCAGCCCGTTCTTCACGCAGTGGCCCCTCGCGTCCGTCTCGTGGATGCAGGTTCCTGTCTTATAGTAGCGCAGGTGGTACTTGCGCTCCGTGTCCCCCGTCGTCCGGTGCAGGTAGGGACACCTGGGAAGCAGAGGGGCACACAAAGCCTGGTTCTCACGGACCCAGAGGCAGCCCTAAGCTCCCTGGGTCCACACCCCAACAGCACCTGGCAAGCAGTGAATTCCCTTCCCTTCTCCCAGCTGCCTGTTCTGATCGGAAGGACCGACATGATCGAACGCAGCACGTGCTCCAGAATGTGGAACCGTCCAGGTACACAGACCACCACAAACCCCCAAGCAAACACAGCTGGAAAACACAATGCCGAGTGTCCACGAAGCTCATCCTTCCTAACAAATGCTCAAACAGTGTGGGAAGTAAAGTCCGTGCCCTGCACGCAGGCTGCATCTCCTTCCTGACCAGTCACTGTCAGAAAGTGGGGGCCCTCCTGCCCAGTGTCCTGCTGCTCTCAGGGACCCCAGGAGGGAGGCAGGGGAGGGGAGAGGCACAGGGCCGTGGACGCTGCTTGGGGGGATGGGGGAAATGGGCAGGAGAGGAAGCAGATAGCATGGTGGGGAGTATAGGTGAGGTAGCGTCACCATCACATGGGATACCTGCAGGCTCAGAGCAATGCTCCCAGGGAGTCACAGGCAGCTCCTGGAGCAGGATGGGGTACAGGGGGAGGGGGAGCAGCCGCCAAGGCTCAGGCAGCATCAACAGAGACGGGGAGACAACGCGAACTGCTCCTGCATTCTGGGGCATCTCCAGGTAGGTCACTCCGCCCAGAGGACCCTGAGTCATCTATGGTGCCAAGCCCCGGCTGGTGATGGAATCACTGAGTGAGGATGACGGGGCCCTCACTGCAGGTCCCCACACGTAAGGACTCAAACCTTCACCTACAGCTCCAGCCAGGGAGCTTCGTGAGGGTCCCGCCTGCCTCACTGTGCATGGGACTGGAGCTCCTGCCAGGGATGGTTGGGAACCAAGAGTGACCCAGCAACCACCAGGTCTAGCCCCACTCTCTAAGGTCAGAGAACACAGACACAGAGCCCCACCCAGGCTTCACTGGGCACCCATGGTGTGCCAGACGCGGGAAGCTGAGGGTGCACAGAGGCTGAAGAAGGGGTGCCCAGCCTGACCTCAGGGTCCCAGGAGCCAGCCAAGCAAAAATCAAATGAGAATGCCACTCTGGGACCCAGCAACCCCGCTCCTGAATTCACATCCCAGAAACATGAAGGCAGGGTTGTAAGCAGACAGCTGCACACACATGTTCACAGTGCGTCATGCACAGGAGCAGAGGCGGAAACCACCCAAATGGGCACCGACGGAGGAGTCAATGAGCAAAGCGTGGTCTTCTACCCACACAATGGGACAGCGTTCAGCCACAGAAGGAAGGTCGGGCACACTGGCTCACATCTGTCATCCCAGCACTTTGGGAGGCAGAGATGGGAGGACTGCTTGAGGCCAGGGGTTCAAGACCAGCCTGGGCAACATGGTGAGTCCCCATCTCTACAAAAAATTTTAAAATTAGCTGGGCACCATGGTGCACATCTGTGGTCCCAGCTACTTGGGAAGCTGAGATGGGAGGATCACTTGAGCCAAAAAGCCAAGGCTGCCATGAGCCGTGATTGCGCCACTGCACTCCAGCCTGGACAACAGAGCAAGACCGTGTCTCAAAAAAAACAAGGGAGGAGGAGGAGGAAGGGAAGGGGAAGGGCGTGCGGGGAAGGATAAAGACAGAGAGAGAGGGAGGGAGGGAGGGAGGGAGGAAGGAAGGAAGCAGCAAGCAAGCTGGGGTGTGGTGGCTCACGACTGTAATCCCAGCACTTCGGGAGGCCAAAGCAGATGGATCCCTGGAGGTCAGAAGTTCAAAACCAGCCTGATCACCATGGTGAAAACTTGTCTACACTAAAAATACACTAATTAGCCAGGTGTAGTGGCGCACGCCTGTCATCCCAGCTAATTGGGAGGCTGAGGCAGGAGAACTGCTTGAACCTGGGAGGTGGAGGCTCCATTAAGACAAGATCGTGCCACTGTACTCCAGCCTGGGTGACAGAGGGACGCTCCATCTTAAAAAAAAAAAAAAAAAAAAAAAAAAAGAAAGAAAGAAAGAAAAAGATTAGACTTGGTATCCGCCAATACAAGTAGCAACAGTGACTTAAGACATGGATATTTGGAAGTCTCTCTTCCCATCAGTTCCTCACAGAATGCATAGTGGAGACCCAGTGAGGCACACACTGCATCCACTCAGATCCAAGTTCTGCACTGCCTGAGAACAGGGGCCAGGGGAGGCCCCAGAGGGCAAATGGGAAATGCCAGGCCTGCCAGGTGACACCGTCAAACAGACCTCTGAAAAGAAGACAGAGGCCGGGTTAAGCAGCTCACGCGTGTAATCCCAGCACTTTGGGAGGGGAGGTGGGCAGATTACTTGAGCCCAGGAGTTCAAAACCAGCAAGACCCCGTTCCCACAAAAAATACAGAAACTCAGCTGGACGTGGTGATGTGCACCTCTGGTCCCAGCTACTCTGGAAGCTAAGGTACAAGGATCACTTGAGCTCAGGAGGCTGAGGCTGCAGTGAACAAATCTGTGTGTCAACCTGGAAAAGCTGCACCACAAGAATAGGGTGAGCCTATTTTTTCCTGAGAACAAAAGACCCAGGGTGGCTGAAGGGCCAAGGGCTGGCAAGGATGGCCTCTGTTCTGTGGCTGCACTGAAAATGGGCCTAGAGGTTGGGCATGGCAGCTCCTGCTTGTAATCCCAGGACTCCGAGACGCCGAGGCAGATGGATTGCTTGAGTCCAGGAGTTCGTGACCAGCCTGTGCAACACACCAAAACCCCAGCTCTACTAAAAATACACACACACATATACACACAAAAATCAGCTGGGCATGGTGGTGCACCTGTGGTTCCAGACCCTCTGGAGGCTGAGGTGAGAGGATCAGGTGAGCCCGGGAAGCCGAGGTTGCAGTGAGCCGAGATCGCACCACTGCACTCCAGGCTGGGAAACAGAGCCAGACCCTGGCTCAAAACAAAGAAGAAAGTAGACCGTAGACCCTGGAGAGGCCCGGGGTCCCATGAGGCGCCTTTTCTGCCTTTTTTTTTTTTTTTTTTTTGCCTTTCCTGTTTCTTTACCAGAATCTGTCTGAAGAGAAAAGCAAGCGCCTGGCCGCTCAGCAATAGCCCAGCGGTCTCAAAGCCACGCCCCCACCTCCACCCCGGGTCATGTGCAAGCCCCGCCCCCAAGTTCACACAGGTTCCCACGGGGGCGGGGCTTCACACATGACCCGGGGTGGCCAATCGCGGATGTGCAGGGGAGGGGCGTGTCCCGCAGAACAAAGGGCCTTTCCCGAGCGGGGCGGGGCCGGGATCCCCGGGAAACCCTCAGGACCGACACGGCGTGGGGTGCAGCCAGAGGCGGCCACCCATTTAGGAAAGGAGGCACTGTGAGGGCGCCCACCGGGGCAGGCACCGGAGGGGGTGCCCACAGGGGATAGGGGAGGAACCTGAGAAGTGACCTGGGAGACCACAGGAGGAGGCAGAGAGTTGACAGCAGGGGCTGGAGGAGGGCACTGAGTGAGGGCGTGAAAGCAGAGGTACCCGCAGGAGCTGGTGACGTTGAGGCTGCCCCCAGGAGGGGCTGACACTGAGGTAGCAGCTGAGCAGGCAGGGGTGGAGTGAGGTGCTAGCATGCCCAGGAAAGGAGGCCCCAGCAGCGGAGGTGGGGGGCCCTCCTGGGGTCCCAGTCCTGCTCTGCCCCACAGCTCAGCCCCAGCACCTCCAGCCAGAACCAAGAGCAACATCTGACACGGGCTAAGGGTGTCTGCTCTCGGACACACATTCATGTGTAAAGCTGGTAGTATCAAGTCCCAAAATAAAAATTTCAAAAACCAACGAACTAAAGAAAGGGAAGACCCTGCCCTTGATCTGAACGTTCATCTGTTCACAAAATCTGAGGCAACCCTTAGTGAGAACCAGAACGGGTAACTCAACAGGACAAATTGGCTATGCCCTTTGTGCAGGGATGAGAAAGTCCCACTCCAGCGGAATGGGGTGATTATGGAGGAGAGATTCCCAGAGGAAACAGCCTGTGAAATACTTCCTAAAAGGCCGGCTGAAGCAAACATGCTACCAACAAAATCCTAAGACAATTCCCTTGTTGTGTGTGGATTTACCCAGGATGCATCCAAAACAGAAGACCCAACAGGCATCTGAGCCCCACTTACCACCCTCAACTATAACCTGTATTTCTGTAATACACAATCTGCTACCTGAGCACAGCTTGAAATGACCACCTGGGGGCAGGCGCTCGCGGCAGCACTGTCCGTCCCTGTGAGAACTGGACACCACCCTGTGCCTAGCACTGGGGCTGAGTCCACAGCAGGACACCCAGACTCCAGAACCAAAACAGTTAGGAAGCTGGGTGCGGTGGCTCACGCCTGTAATCCCAGCACTTTGGGAACCTGAGGAGAGCACATCACCTGAGATCAGGAGTTCAAGACCAGCCTGGTCAACATGGTGAAACCCATCTCTACTAAAAATATATAAATTAGCTAGGCATGATGGCAGACGCCTGTAATCCCAGCTACTCAGGAGGCTGAGGCAGGAGAATTGCTTGAACCCATGAGGCAGAGGTTATAGTGAGCCAAAATCATGCCACTGCACTCAAGCCTGGGAGACAGAGACTCCATCTACAAAAAAAAAAAAACAAAAAAGTTATGAAAAGATGGCTTCTTGCTGGGTGCAAGAATGCACACATATAACCCCAGCACTTTGGGCAGCTGAGGTGGGAGAACTGCTTAAGCTTGGGAGGTCGAGGCTGCAGTGAGCTGTGAGTTACCACTGCACTCCAGCCTGGGCAACAGAGCGAGACCCTAGCTCCAAAAAAAAAGAAAGGGCTGGGCGAGGTGGCTCATGCCTGTAATCCCAGCACTTTGGGAGGCCAAGGTGGGTGGATCATGAGGTCAGGAGTTCAAGACCAGCCTGGCCAACATGGTGAAACCCCATCTCTACTAAACATACAAAAAATTGGCTGGGTGTGGTGGTGGGTGCCTGTAATCCCAGCTACTCGGGAGGTTGAGGCAGGAGAATTGCTTGAACCCGGGAGGCGGAGGTTGCAGTGAGCCAAGATCATGTCCCTGCATTCCAGCCTGGCGACAGAGCACTGCCCATCACGCCAGCCTGGCGACAGAGCACTGCCAGTCAATCAGGCCCCCATGTTTAATGGAGTGGGGTCAGACCGGCTGGGTGCTGGTCTCCACACGTCCGGACCCCCGCATCAGAGTTTGGCAGCAGTGGCCCCTTGTAACTCAGGATCACAGGCCTGGGCAGATGACGGGCTTAACCAAGGGAAATTAGGGGCTGAGCTCCGACATCAACTAGACAAATACCTGCCTTTCAGAGTCTCACGTGCAGAAAACCGTGGCTCAAAAAGCTGTTCAGTTACGCACTTTCAGAACTGCCTAGAAGTACATCACCACCCTAACCAACACGGGCTGGCGACATTCACGGTTAGGCACCAACCTGCCTTAACGACAATACTAGGGCCGGGTGCGGTGGGCTGCACTTAGAATCCCTGCAGTTTGGGAAGGCCAAGGCAGGAGAACTGCCTGAAGCTGGGCAACATGGTGAGACTCTGTCTCTATGAAAAAATAAAAACTGAACCAGAGGTGTGTGGTGGCTCACACCTGCAATCCTAGCCCTCTTGGAGGCTAAGGTGGGAGGATCACTTGAGTCCAGGAGTTCAAGACCAGCCTGGACAACACAGGAAAATTCCGTCTCTACTAAAAATACAAAAAAATCTGCCAGGCGTGGTATAGAGTCTGTAGTCCCAGCGACTCCAAAGGTTGAAGTGGGAGAATCACCTGAGCCCACTTGGCCTCCCAAAGTGCTGGGATTACAGGCACGAGCCAACTCACCCAGCCTCCTCCCCCGCTTTTTTTTTTGAGCTAGAGTCTCACTCTGTTGCCCAGGCTGCAGTGAGCCGAGTTGGTACCAACACGCTCCAGCCTGGGCGACCAGAGTGAGACCTGGTGTAAGTGACAGAGCACTCCTGTGCCTCCAGCTGCTCAGGAGACTGAAGCAGGAAGATCCCTTGAGCACTGGAGGTTCACGCTGCAGTGAGCAAGCAGTGTCTGCGCCCCTGCACTGCAGCCCAGGCCACAGACCACCCTGCCTCACAAAACAAGCAGCCAGGTGGTTCTGACAATACCACTGCTTCTGGAAAATAAAATAAAAACAGCCAGGCGGGTGGCTCCCCTGAGGTCAGGAGTTCGAGACCAGTCTGACTAACATGGTGAGACCCCCCATCTGCGCTAAAAATACAAAAATTAGTGAGGCCTGGTGGCGCATGCCTGTAATCCCAGCTACTCGGGCGGGTGAGGCAGGAGAATCACTTGAACCCAAGGTTGTGATGAGCAGAGACTGTACACTGCACTCCAGCCTGCTTGACAGAGAAAGACTCCATCTCAAAACAACGAAATCACAGCAAACACTATTTAACTAATGAGCAATTACAAACATTTCAGTAAAGTGTGTAACACTTCTAAAAAAATTAGAAAAATGTATCCCTTGGGGTAAGCATTGTTGAAAAAATAAAGGAAAAAAGACTTCAGTTCACAAGGGTCTCCATGCTGAAAGCAGGCTTCAATGGGAAGGTCCCTGGAGAATCAGCTCCTTCCAAAACATGATGGAATACAGACGTCAAGACCGCAGCTGCCATCTCTCCCCTGGGCAGGAGGAGACCACCCTCCGCCCTCTGCGAGCAGCCCACAGGAAGTAGGCAGAACCTGACACCACCTCCCGCCGGTCTGTGAATATACAACCCGACCTGGATTTTCCCATTTTACATATTTCAAAATAAAGACATCTGTTCATAACACTATTAGGAAACTTGTAAAATAAAATCAACCAAAACAAAACCTTCATTTTGCAACTTTAAAAGTGCTATAGAGGCCAGGCTCAGTGGCTCCCGCCTGTAATCACAGCACTTTGGGAGGTCAAGGTAGACGGATCACGAGGTCAGGATATCGAGACTATCCTGGCTAACATGGTGAAACTCCCTCTCTACTAAAAATACTAAAACAATTAGCTGAGTATGGTGGTTCACACCTGTAGTCCCAGCTACTCAGGAGCCTGAGGCAAGAGAATTGCTTAAACCTGGGAGGCGGAGGTTGCAGTGAGCAGAGATCCCGCCACTGCACTCCAGCCTGGGCGACAGAGAGTGAGACTCCATCTCAAAAACAAAAAAAAGTGCTACATAAATGAGCATGCACATAAAATAACTTTACTATCTTTTTTTTATTAAAATGAATATGCAAACATCAAGAAAGGAAACATCGGCCGGACACAGCAGCTCATGCCTGTGATCCCAGCACTCTGGGAGGCCGAGGCAGGAGAATCATGAGGTCAGGAGACCGAGACCATCCTGGCTAACACAGTGAAACCCTGGCTCTACTTAAAAAAAAATACAAAAAATTAGCCAGGTGTGGTGGTGTGCGCCTGTAATCACAGCTACTCAGGAGGCTGAGGCAGGAGAATCGCTTCAACCAGGGAGGCAGAGATTGCAGTGAGCTGAGATCATGCCACTACACTCCAGCCTGGGCGACAGAGCAAGATTCTACCTCAAAAAATACATAAACAAACATCCTGGATGTACTCCACAGTGTGAATATTCCAACAAGCTCTCTGCGTGGAAAGCATCTGACCACTACAAAATGCTCCCAAACCTGGCCAGGCGCAGTGGATCCTGCCTGGAATCCCAGCACTGTGGGAGGCCATGGCAGGAGGAGCGCTGTGCCCTGGGCTACAGCAAGAAGCCTGCCTCTGCAGAAACACAAAACAGCACACTTGGCCAGAGGTAGGTTCTGATGCAGGAACTGTGTCACATCAAGACCGGCAAACTGCCGGCCACGGTGGCTCATCCCTGGAATCCCAGCACTTGGGAGGCTGAGGCAGGAGGATCTCTTGAGCCCAGAAGTTCAAGACCAGCCTGGACAATGTAGTGAGACCCCATCCCTACAAAAATTATACAAAATTAGCTGGGGTGGCATGAGCCTGTAGTCCCCAGCTACTTGGGAGGCTGAGGGAGAATCACTTGAGCCTGAGAGTTGGTGGCTGCAGTGAGCCGTGTCCCATCATTGCACTCCAGCCCTGGTGACAGAGCAAGACCCTGTCTCAAAAAAAAAAAAGCAAGAAAAGAAACAAAATTGGATTAAGTGACACAAGGGTTACCCCTGAAACACAGACAATTCCTCGGGAAGTGGCCTGAAAATAGTAACTCCCTGTCAATGGAAAACTTCAGAGGATAATTACCACACCCTCTACAGCAGCCAGCATGGACACCAGGTGTCCACGGAGGGTCCAGTCCTTGTCCCTGGGTGGAGCCCACCCACCTGCCCCTGGCTGAGGGTCCAGACCCCGTCCCCGGGTGGAGGCCCCCTCCTGCCCCCTGGCTGAGGGTCCAGGCCCCGTCCCCGGGTGGAGGCCCCCTCCTGCCCCCTGGCTGAGGGTCCAGACCCCGTCCCCGGGTGGAGGCCCCCTCCTGCCCCCTGGCTGAGGGTCCAGGCCCCGTCCCCGGGTGGAGGCCCCCTCCTGCCCCCTGGCTGAGGGTCCAGGCCCCGTCCCCGGGTGGAGGCCCCCTCCTGCCCCCTGGCTGAGGGTCCAGGCCCCGTCCCCGGGTGGAGGCCCCCTCCTGCCCCCTGGCTGAGGGTCCAGGCCCCGTCCCCGGGTGGAGGTCCCCATGCCCCCAGCCGCTTACTCGTCGCCGTCGGGGCACACGCCGGTGGCCTCGTTGTACTTGGAGCAGTACACGTCGGGGCTGTAGTTGAAGGTGCCGTCGCGCCTGCGGAGGGGCCTGCGGCGCCGCTGGTTGAGGAAGTGCCAGTGGAAGCAGGTGAACGGCCTGTGCTGCGCGCACTTGTGCTGTGAAAACAGGGGGCACTGCTCCGTCCTGAACTCCTTCAGGTACCTAAAAACAGACAGCGCCGCGCTGGCTTCCGTCGGACGGCCCCGGGGACTAGCGAGCGGAGGGTCCCACCCGCCTCAGGGGCCCCAACCCCGGGCCCGACCCCCACTCCGACTCCTGGCGGGCCCCAGGCGCCGCCCCCCATCCCGACTCAAGACGCGAGCGTCCCCGGACCTCAGAGCCCAGGCGCCCCCTAGACCCCGGCGGCCACGGTGACCTCAGGCGGCGGCCGCCGGAGCGGAGGGTCCCGGTCCCCGAGCCCGGGCGCAGCCCCCGACCCCCGACCCCCGACCCCCGACCCCGGGGCGGTTCCTCCCTCCCCAGGGGCGCGAGGACCCGGGAGCCCGGGCGCCGCGCTCCGACCTCAGGCAGCGGCGGCCGGAGCCGAGAGGGTCGCGGCCCCCCAGCCCCGGCGCGGCGCGGAGGCCGGGGGCGCGCGGGGGCGGCGAAGGGGCGGCGGAGGCAGCGCGGGCCCGGGCGGGAGGCGGCGGGCGGGACCGGGGCGGGCGGGGGGCGAGGGCCGGACGGGCGCTGACCTGTAGTGGGTCGGCTTCTCAGTCTGCGGGGGGGACCCGCTCAGCGCCGCCGCCGCCGCCGCTTTCGAAACCGACGGCATTTTCAGTCAAAACAATGCAGCGCGCATGCGCCGCGCCGGCGCCCCCGCCCCCGGATCTCCCCCCGCCCCCCGTGGCCACGCCCCCTGCCCGAGACCCCGGCCACGCCCCCAGCCCCGCGCCCAGCCCCGCCCCGCCCGCCCCGGCCCTGCAGCCCCTCACCCCGGATCGCCGGTGGGTGGGACGGGGCCCTCCCTGCCCTTCCTGCCCGGGGGCTTGCGTGGGACCCGCGATGGTCGGTCCCTGCTGGGACACGACCCCACATCACCGAGTAATTTCCGTGAATTAATCACAGGAGTTGTATCTCAGTGCAGCGGCTCTTCCACAAACCAAGCGAGAGGCTGGTGTCAAGGGAGCCGGGCACACGGGTCACCAACGGGGCGGGAGGGCGAAGCGGTCCCGGCCTCTGCAAAAAGGAATTTGTGCCTTTTCGAGCACTGACCTCAAACACTTATTGGAACATTTATGTACAAACGTGATTATCGCAGTTATTTAGCAAAACCCTTGAGCCCCGCCCCCATCACAGCCCAGTAGCCGATGAAAGGAAAACTCTTAAGTGCTACGCGCGATTTGATAGAAACAGCGTTTCCTAAGAATTTTTAGTGACAGGAGGTCAGCCGCGGTGGTTCATGCCAGCGCTTTGGGAGGCAGAGGCAGGTGGATCACCTGAGATCAGGAGTTCGAGACCAGCCTGGCCAACATAGTGACACCCCCCCCCCATTAAAAATACAAAAAAAAACTTAGCAGGGTATGGTGGCACACGCCTGTAATCCCAGCTACTCTGGAGGGTAACGCATGAGAAACGCTTGAACCCGGGAGGCGGAGGTTGCCAACACTGGGTCACTGTACTCCACCCTGGGCAACAGAGTGACACCCTGTCTCAAAAAAAAAAATAACTTTTAGTGATATGAAAAATGTGCCCATTTAGGTTAAAAGAAAACCACTTCCTATAGATTTGTTCCAAGTATGCCAGGTTTTTTAAAAAAACATTAATACTATAAAACCACAAAAGCAATCATCTGCTGGTAGGACAATTTTTTTTGGAGACGGAGTTTCACTCTTGTTGCTCAGGATGGAGTGCAATGGTGCAATCTCGGCTTATGGCAACCTGTGCCTCCGGGGTTCAAGTGCGTCTCCTGCCTCATCCTCCCGAGTAGATAGGATTACAGGTACACACCACCACACCCGGCTAATTTTGTATTTTTAGTAGAGTTGGGGTTTCTCCATGTTGGTCAGGCTGGTCTTGAACTCCCAACCTCAGGTGATCTACTCACATTGGCCTCCCAAAGTACTGGGACTACAGGCATGAGCCACCACACCCGGCCAGGTTCACATTTTCCAAATGAATTATTACCTCTACAAATATGACATTTAAATCTTAAAGTGATAATGAAGAACATGATATTTTCAAGTTAAATCAAGCAGGAAAGACAGGGCCTGTGAATTCTTCAGACAGGAATAAACGGATCTTGAAGACTCCCCAGGTGCTGGGAATGGTAAAGGATTCCGGGATGACGCCCAGGTCTCTGGCTTGCAGGGATACAGAACAGGGGAGAAGAAAGAGGTTTGGCAGAGATGAATCCCATTTTGTGTGGGTAACACCCCCCAGGGACACCGAGGAAGAACTGTACAGACCCCAGGCAGTTAGTGCCTGAAGCATAACTCACTGCTCACTCTATCTAGTTTATATATATATTCATACTTAGTCCCATATAATCTTTCTATATAATCAAACAGGTACTGTAGTCGGAACTGCACTGACACACTTAGTGCTGATTTATAGAATCCTTCCATATAACCATACAGTAGTCTGTAGTAGGAGGACGCCTAGAGCGGTCACAGAACAGAAGCAGCACGTGGGAAAACAGCCAGGCCAGGACGAGAACCAAAGACCCCGGCGGTGGCGTCCCTGCCTGGAAGGGCATATGCTGTATGCAGGCTTGAAGCTGGAGCCTCTCCTCCTGATAGAGGAGTTGTGGTACCTTGCATCCAGTTCCTGTGGAAAGTCGGCCTCAGGCCTGAGATCCTGGAAGTAACAGAGGGAGAAGAACCCTCTGATGTGACCAGTTATGGCAGCCGTACACCCTATTCAAATCATCCTCCCATAAATATCTTAAGAGAAGAGCACAAGTCTGTCAGCTCCCACTGCAGTGACTTATAGTATCCTTCCATTAGAAATCCTTTGAAAGCCAGGCGCTGTGGCTCAAGCCTGTAATCCTAGCACTTTGGGAGGCTGAGGTGGGTGGATCACCTGAGGTCAGGAGTTCAAGACCAGCCTGGCCATCATGGTGAAAACCCATCTTAAAAAAAAGAAAAAAAAAAAAAAAAAAAGAAGAAATCCATTGAAACCTCCAGCCCCCAGATAAAAAGTGTTGTGCACGACACCTGTTGCACACAGCCCACCTCTTTGCCTCGGTGACCTAATGGGGGTGGACCCCTTTTCTGTACACGACCCTCTACTACTGCACACAGCACGGCCCCCTACTGAGCATAGCCCACCTATCTGCTCAGGTGACCTAATGGGGTGGCCCCCTGGCTTGTGACTCACGTGATTACGTATGCCCTATCACCAAGCCCATTCATGACCCTGCCCCCTGCTTGTACCTAATAAATACAGATGCTTCTTGGCATTTGGGCTCTCGCCAATCTCCGCTCACAGGTGGCGTGGCCCCCGAGTCCAGATGGTCTTCGCGAGCTCTTCAGTTTCCTGTCCCTTTCCTTCTTGGATCCTGCACTTCGGCACGACACAAGGCCCCACGACCCTGTGGGGCCCAGCAGCCCTAAAATTTTGGAGTTTAAGGAGCCCGTGAGCAGTCCAGCAGAGATGTCTATGGGGCCTGGGAACCGTAGGAAAAGGATTTGAGGACTCGAGGCCTAGAAACTGGGGGATCTTTGCTGTAGAAGTATCAGTGACGATGCTGCCGTTCCTCCTCATCCTGGGAGCTTCGGGACTTCCTTTTCTTTTTTTGAGACGGAGTTTCGCTCTTGTTACCCAGGCTGGAGTGCAATGGCACGATCTCGGCTCACCGCAACCTCCGCCTCCTGGGTTCAGGCAATTCTCCTGCCTCAGCCTCCCGAGTAGCTAGGATTACAGGCACGCGCCACCATGCCCAGCTAATTTTTTGTATTTTTAGTAGACACGGGGTTTCACCATGTTGACCAGGATGGTCTCGATCTCTTGACCTCATGATCCACCTGCCTCGGCCTCCCAAAGTGCTGGGATTACAGGCTTGAGCCACCGCGCCCACCCCCGGGACTTCTTTCTCCAAGACATCAAAGGAAACTGATGTAAGACTTAACGATTGAAACTATCATTTTTTTTCATCATTTGGAAGAAATGGTCTTTAAAACCTAGGGTGGTTCCAGACATACATAAAATAACCCCAGCTTTCCAGTGTGAATGCGGAAGTGTTTCACCTTCCTTGGCAACAAGATGCTCACACCACCAGCAGGACCTTCTAAGACACTTCATCGGCTGAGACGTGACCAACTGGTTAATATCTTCCTTGAAAGAATTTTTGTTTTAACACAATTTCTGCCTGGGCAAGGCAGTGGTGTTTACCTGTAGTCCTAGCACTTGGGGAGGCCGAGGCAGGTGGATTACCTGAGGTCAGGAGTTCAGGAACAGCCTGGCCAACATGGTGAAACCCCATCTCTACTGAAAATACAAAAAAAATTAGCCAGGTACAGTGGTGCACACCTGTAATCCCAGTTACTCAGGAGGCTGAGACGGGAGAATCGCTTGAACTTGGGAGGCAGCGGTTGTGGTGAGCCAAGATCACACCACCGCACTCCAGCCAGGCCACAGAGCTAAACTTTCTCTCTCTCAAAAAAAAAAAATTCCTCTGCCCGCCCAGCCATTTGTCATTTTAGGAATCACTGCAGCTGCCAGGTGCGGTGGTGCGCGCCTATAGTCCCAGCTACTCGGGAGGCTGAGGTAGGAGGATCTCTTGAGCCCAGGAGTTCTGGGCTGTAGTGCGCTATGCCGATTGGGTGTCCACACTAAGTTCGGCATCCATATGGCGACCTCCCGGAAGTAGGGGACCACCAGGTTGCCTAAGGAGGGGTGAGCTGGCCCAGGTCAGAAACGGAGCAGGTCAAAACTCCCATGCTGATCTCACCTGTGAATAGCCAGTGCACACCATCCTGGGCAACACAGCAAGAACCCATCTCTAAAAAAAAAAAAAAAAAAAAAAAAAAAGGCCGGGCGCAATGACTCAAGCCTGTAATCCCAGCACTTTGGGAGGCCGAGGCAGGATCGCAAGGTCAAGAGATCAAGACCATCCTGGTCAACATGGTGAAACCCCATCTCTACTAAAAATACAAAAAATTAGCTGGGCATGGTGGCGCGTGCCTGTAATCCAGGTACTTGGGAGGCTGAGGCAGGAGAATTGCCTGAACTAAGGAGGCGGTTGCGGTGAGCCGAGATCGCGCCATTGCACTCCAGCCTGGGTAACAAGAGCGAAACTCCGTCTCAAAAAAAAAAAAAAAGGAATCGCTACAGCTGCGTGTCCTAGCATGCTAACAATGGTCTCCCTCTCAAATGCTTATGTGGGGAGGTCAGTGTGCCATGTACCCTGGGGAAAACAAAAGCTATAGCCCAATTGGGGAAACAGAACAAACACACCATAAAACTAGTTAAATATGGCCGGGCGTGGTGGCGCATGCCTGTAATCCCAGCTACCCCGGGGGGTTGAGACAGGAGAATTGCTTGAACCCAAGAGGCGGAAGTTGCAATGAGCCAAGACCGCCCCACTGCACCCCAGCCTAGGTGACAGAGCAAGACTCCATCTCAAAAAAAGAAGAGAAAGAAAGAAGACAATCTAGGGCCTGGTGTAGTGGCTCCTGCCTGTAATCCCAGCACTTTGGGAGGCCGAGGCAGGTGGATCGTGAGGTCAAGAGATCAAGACCATCCTGGTCAACATGGTGAAACCCCGTCTCTAATAAAAACACAAAAAATTAGCTGGGCATGGTGGCACATGCCTGTAATCCCAGCTACTCAGGAGGCTGAGGCAGGAGAATTGCCTGAACCCAGGAGGCGGAGGTTGCGGTGAGCTGAGATCGTGCCGTCG